ATTTACATATGTACATGCCTGTATTTAGACCTCTATAAATGCCATTTACCTCCTAGCTCTTTCATCTATTTCCATTTACTTTCCTCTTGTTCCACTATCATGTTTAGCCTCATTAGGGTTTCAGTAATTCCTTACATTACCCTTGGTCACACCCTACCAGGCCTCCTCACCACCGATTTGGATTACTTGTTGTTCCCCTGCCCCTGGGTTTGTTAACACTACCACCCCCTCTCCCATGCCCCCTTCTTTGCCAATGTTTTATAGCTGCTGTGTGAGGCAGGAATGGGATTATGAGAATTGAAAGTTAGTTTTAATTTCTCTGCATATATTGGTTGCCTGGGGCATTAAAATAACCCATATTTGTATTAAAACAAAATGTCACATGTGACAGAAAAATTCATAATACTTTGTAGAATTGAAACAATGAGGAGGGAAGGGCAGACACCTGAAATGTATTTCATATGAAAAATAATGGTTTGGGGACTTTTCCATGCCAGAGAAAGGCATCTGTGCATGGAGTGTGCTTGCGTACAGCCATGGATCTCAGCAGAATAGCTGTGCCCTTTTGTGACTTTGGAGGAAAATAGACTAATCACAAAAGGCAGGGTTGGGGGCTTTCTATCGCTGAAGACTGTGAGGAGGCTTTTGTGTTCTGGAAGGCGGGTTCAGAATCCTCAGCTTCTCCATGTCCATAATGAAAAGGTGTGCTGAAGTAGGGGGCAGTGTTTGACAAGCTATGGGCAAGAAGCCTTGTCCTTTTGTCTTGTTGCTGTTAATCACCCAAACTTTAGTCGACTTTTGCTTCCTAGGGAGCCCACAGGACATAGTCGAATTGTCCTCTGTCTTTTTCTAGCCTGTCATCTTCAGGGAACCGCTCTATAGATCTTTCTACCCTGGAGCTACTGAGTGGGTTCAAATGATCAAACTTTTGGTTAGTAGCCGAGTGCCATCAGGACCCTCCCCTTTGTTTAGGGTACAGAGCTAACTACAATACACAGAGTAACAGCCTGGAGCAGTGGTTCTCCACCGTCCTCGTGCAGAGACCTTTGCCTGCAGTTCCTCATGTGGTGTGACCCCCAACCATAACATTATTTTTGTTGCTACTTCATAACTGTCATTTTGCTGCTGTTATGAATCGTCATGTAAATATCTGATATGCAGGACATATTTTCATGGTTACAAATTGAACATAATGAAAGTATAGTGATTAATCACAAAACCAATATGTCATTATATATTGTGAAATATTTATTTCTAATTACAAGTAAATGAAATTTTGTCTGGAAGCATGGTGTAGCACTGGTAACAACAATCTTCACGCTGGGTACTCATGTGGGCGTATCTGCATGTGGATGACCCGCCTGGAGATGGATAGAGGAGCCGTGTCTCGGTTCCTAAGACCATGGGAAACATGTGTATTCCGATGGTCTTAGGCAACCCCTGTGAAAGGGTCGTTCACCCCCAAACGGGGTCGCGACCCACAGGTTGAGAACCGCTAGCCTAAAGGAATCAAATAAATGAACGAAAATATAATGGGATACATAAATTAAAAAAAAATTAGTGGAATTTCTAAATTAGATCTTGGCAAGCCCAATCCCCTAGACATTCATGACACATTTAAGAAGATGCTACACGGAACATTAAAGACACCGGCCACCACGCTTTCGGCCTCCGGGCAGGGCCTCTTGAAATTGCCCCTACGCGTGACAGAAACTGCAGCAAGTTGTCAAAGGCCTGAAGTTTACTGCAGCCAGTGCTGGCGCTCTTTTCCCCATGACATCAGCCGTCAGCTGAAATAAGACGTGAAAATTCCAAAACTCTCCTGAGGTTCTCAAAGTTTCGAGCAGCCTGCCTTTGGGGTTGCGCGCAGGCCTGTCCTACCCATCTGACACCCCTCCACGTGGGTTCTCCCCGCTCACCATCCTCCCAGCCTTGTTTACTCCCCATGGGGGCAGAGACTCAACAGTCAGGTGCCACCCAGCAGGGGGAGCGGGTGAGCGGCCCAGGGCAGCCCCAGCAGGCCGGCGGACCTTGGGGGGTCATTTGGGTGGGAGCAACGTGGAGGCTCCCTCGACCCACTCTTTGCTCCTCGTGGGTGGGGTGGGTGTAGAAGGAGCGGGGATAAATAGCAGGCTCCCCACTCCTGGCGATTCTCCCCAGCTGTCCGCTGCCGCCCCGGTGGTTCCCTGCCCTGTCGCAGGGGTGCCAGCCAGAGGAGTAGTTTCGCTTCCTCCAAGCGCCGGGATTCCTTTCCAGGCACCCCGTGGGAAAGGGGCGCAGGAAGGGCAGGAAGACGCGTCCCGGGGGCTGTCCGGCGGCTCAGACCAGGGTGGATGGATCGGACTTTCGCTGGCAGAGGCGCCAGCTCCCTGCCCCTGCTGCTGGCCCTCGCCCTGGGTAAGTGGCTGCGCGGACACCTTGGCTCCAACAGGAAAGTCTGTGGCTGGAGCCACCCAGAGGGCGAAACCTGAGCCGCCAGATCACAGGGACTGGGTTGGTAGGGGCCCCTGGGAGAACTTGACCGCAGGAGAGCACCTGTGAGGGCACCTGCTGCAGGCTGGAACGGGCGCGTGGGAAGGGCAGCGGGCGGAAGGGAGCCCATGGTCACGCGGTCCTGGCGGGGCGCAAGTCCACACTGCAGTCCCTGGGAGGGTTACCTTCCAGACTAGAGGGCTAGTTCCAAGCCCCCCAGGGTGGGTCCCTGGGAGGGAATCCCCTGAAGAAAAGGCTTCGCATTTGCATTAAGAAAGCTATTTCTCTGGGCATCTAGCAGAGTTAAGGGCACTCTCATTCAGAATGCTGAGTGCTGAGCCTGGGGTACATTTGCCTGGGGTGGGTGCCCAACATGTGAGCTAGAGAACAAGGAATTACCCATGGGGAGGGGAGAACTGGTCAGGAAGCTACCCCTCCCCCCATTCCTCACATCTCAGGGAATGGGCTGATGTTTTTAGGGATATTTGATGGAACTGGGGGGAAAAAGACCCAAATCCTGAGTCTTGAGTTGCCTGCTAATGAGGAGGAAGCAAAGGGAAGAGAAATCCTTTTTTGAGAACACTAGAGATGAAATAAACAAATAAGGCTGTATAAGGTGGTCATGGTAGCGCTGTGTGCTAGGCATTGGGCTGCTAACCTCCAAGTAGGTAGTTCAAATCTACCAATTGCTCCCTAGGAGAAAGATGAGTCTGTCTGCCCTCATCAACATGTAGTCTTAGAAGCCCCATATAACAACGTTACAGAAGATGTGGTCAGTTAGAATTTAGTGGTGCACGCTGGCCAGGAAGGTTGAGGACGACCAGCAATGATGTCTGAGATTCAGGCCTAGAAACGATCCTGATGCTCTTGCCAGCTGTGGCGTGGATGTGGCCGATCTTCTCATCCTCCACGGTGTCGAGACTGCCTCATGGCCAGAAAATATTTACAGCGAATCTACTATCGTTAGCATGGCTCCAGAGCATGTGAGGGTGGGGTAGAAAGAGGGGACTCAAGAGATTTCGAAAACATGATTCCACCTGGAAGCACCAGTGTTCTAAGTGGGGGTGGGGGGCGGCAAGACTAAGACATGTGACATCCCAAGAGTTAAGTCCATGCAACTGGGGAAGAAAGTACTTTACAGTGAGAGGTAGAGCAGGGAGGCTGCCAAGAGGACAGCCCTCTCCTGGAGAAATGAGGAGGACGTAGACCAGGGGAAATATTCTTGAGTAAAGAGCTGGTGATGGGAATGAGACGGTCTTATCAGAGAGTCAGAAGATCAGATCAGCCTGCCAGCGAGGATGTGGAAACTAGAAGCAATCAGAGTATGAAGAGCCAAATAAGCCAGATCAAAAGTATTTGAACATCAGCCAACACGTAGCCCAAACATACATCATCACGAGTCTTGAATAAGTAAGGAGAGGCCAGGGAGTCCCTCGAGTGTGGGCCTGCGAGTGGTGACTGAAAAAGACACATCTGGCAGTGAGGTGCAGGGTGGGAGGGGCAAGGGGACTGGAGCTCAAAGCCATGATTGCCTCATAGGAATGGACTAATAGGATCTAAATTAGGGTGACATGCTAGCATGGATGTTACGGGAAAAATGATTATTCAGTGTTGATCAGCATCCCCTACCCCATACTTGCTCTTTATTAACACACAGGACTTTGTTCTAGTCTCAAAAACAAATTGTTACCAGGCAAAAATCACAAGCAAAACAATCCAGTGCTAATGTACACTGCGGGTAAGCTAAAGTACAACTATTCTTTTGAATGACTAGCTGAGAAAATTTAATTTAATTTCTGGGTACCTTAAAACTGCTTTCCTTGCATCAATGCTCCATTAAGTGACTCTATCTCTACCTTAAGGACCATGGTGGACCTGTGGGGAGAAGATGGGGCGGTCTGCTTCCCTGAAGATTTACAGCCTTGGAAAGTGCACAGGACATATCCACTCTAACCCATCATAGGGTTTCTATGAGTTGGAATCAAGTGGGTTTCTAACTGAAAGGGCTTTATAGAAATGCCCTGAAGCCTCAAAGACTGGGGTAGAAAAAAAGGAAGAAAAAGAGCAGGCTGGAGAACGCTGGTGGAAGGACTTAAAGGATGGATCACTGAAACACGAAACATTTTGGGGTGCAAGGAATCTCATGAGATAGTTGGAAGTAGCTAGAACTGACCTCCCGAACCCACCACATTTAGAAGTATAAACTCCAGAGTGAAGAGACTTCCTTTAGATTTGTCCTCTTGTGCCTCTGAAAGGATTTACAGTTTCTGAAACCCTATGGAGCAGTGTATTCTGCTCTATAGGGACCCTGTGAGTCAGAAGCTACTTGGTGGGTCTATCTATCATATATTCTTAACTTTGAGACTCAATTCTAATTCATCACATTATTTTATTACTTTTGGAGAAATGCATTCTGAGACGGACATGTGTGTGTAGATGTGAGTATATGTATTTCAGGGGAAAGCTTGCTGACAGCTGAGGGGAGGGGTGCAGGCATGATCCTAGTCCCACCTCTCCCACTCACCAACTCAGAGATGGTCTGTCCATTTCATCTTCCTGGGTGCTGGTTTTCTCATTGGTGAAATGAAAGAGTTGCTTAGATGGCCATACACTTGGCAGTCTACTATTTTTTAACCAACATGCTATTAACAAACAACACAAGGTCAACGAGAAACATCCCTAATGTTTTTTAACCAAACGATGTAGCATTTAAAAGGAATGTTTTTTTCCAATAGTTTTTAACTCCCATTTGCTTTGTAGTGAGCTGTTTGTTCTACTCGAACTTTGTCATGCCAGAGAGAATCAGGAGTGCTTGTTTCATTCAGGTGATGTGGGGAAATTCCCAGGTCACCATGGGAGAGGCTTGTACTGCAGGCATCTTCTGCTGGGCTCCCTGAAGGTGCCTGCCTGGCCTGCTGATGTCTGTGCTATGACCATGCTGGGACCAACAACATTGCCACTGTGCCCCACTCAACAGGACTGCCCCTCTGAATATAGGCTGTGTGCTCCCTGAGGCCATCAAAGAGCGCAGGAGGAATCCTCACCTTGTCTAGTCCACCTTCTTTTATTGTAGCTAATTCACATCAAGGTGTAGGCATGAGTGTCAATAGGTTTCTGGGCAAGGGGACAGAGGGACAGGCCTCAAGCTGCATGCTGACTCACCCCTCTAGGCCTTGAACCACACTCACCATACTTGTAAGTGGTTTCCTTAGGATGAATGCCAGGGAGCAATAACCCAGGCTGAATGCACTCTGTGGTTAGGTCATGATCCCAACTCACTATTTGGTAAATGTAACTTGTGAGGCATACGAAGAGATTCTGTTTTCAGAGTGCTCCAATCTTGTGTTCAGTAAGCGCATGCATGCCCGGCATCCACATTCGTAACCCACACAGCCACAGTCTTCATGTGAATATTGATGTTGAATGCAAGAGATGGAACTCCATCGGCTAATTTTAAGATACACACATTATGTACTACTCCTTTTGGGAATTTTTACAAAAAGAGAAGCATGATTAGAAAGAGAAATAGAAGGCAAACCACACTAAGGTTAAATTTACATACTATATACAAATGCAACGTATACATAAATTCTATTTATATATAACATAAATTTAGTAAGTATATAATAGGTGATACATAATTAATTATTAGTACTGATAATGTATTATACAGTAACTGAAACAAAATGATATAATTTGATAGGTGAAGGTATAATTTTAAATAATGTATTATAGATTAGCTATATTAAGATTGAATTTATTTGATAATAAATACAGTTAACTAATGATTAATACTAGAAGGAGCTCAGAGAGGGGCCAGGAATCCCAGTCATATTTAGAAGAGGGCATGGAATGAGGGATATATCATTGCTGATGTCAGATGGATTGTTGATGAAAGCAGAGAATACCAGAAAGCTGTTTGCTTGTGTTGGATGGACTATGCAAAGGCATTTAATTATGCAGATCTTAACAAACTGCATGTATAGCATTGAGAAGAATTTCAGAACACTGCATTGTGCTCCTGTGGAATGTGTAAACTGATTACAAGGATCAACATATACCCTCCTACCTGGGAGATGGACAGCAGAAAAGTGGGTGAAGGGAATGGGTAAGATATGACAAAATAATAATAATTTATAAATTATCAAGGGTTCATGAGGGAGGGGGGAGCAGGGATGGAGGGGAAAAATGAGGAGCTGATACCAAGGGCTCAAGCAGAAAGCAAATGTTTTGAGAATGATGATGGCAACAAATGTACAAATGTGCTTGACATAATGGATGTGTGTATGGATTGTGATAAGAGTTGTATGAACCCCCAATAAAATGATTAAAAACAAAAGCAACCAAGAGGTAACAGTTTCAACAGAACGAGAGGATACTGAATGGTTTAACATTAGAAAAGCGGTGCATCAAAACTGTATCCTTTCACCATACTGATTCCATCTGCATGCTCAGCAATGGCCTGAGAAGCTGTACTATATGACGTTAGGATTGGAGGATGGCTCATTAAGAGCCTGATACATCATCGCTTGTAGACAGAACAAAGGTCTTGCAGCACTGACTGATGGAGATCAAAGACTGAAGTCTTCAGTATGGATTGCAACTAAAATCCTCACAACTAGACCAATAGGCAACATCACCATAAACAGAGAAAATATCAAAGTTTTCAAGGATTTTATTTTACTTGGATTTAAAATGAACACTCATGAAAATGGAAATTATGAAGTTATACTACTTATTGCACTGGGCAAATCTGCTACACAACCTCTTAAAATGTTACAAGAGCAAAGATGTCACTTGGAGGATTAAAATGCACCTGATCCAAGCCATAGTACATTCAATTGCCTCATAGACATTTGAAAGCTGCCCAATGAAGAAGACTGGAGGAGATACCTTTGAATCATGATGTTGGAGAATAATAATAA